AAAATGCAATGTAATTTGTTTTTTGCATATTTAGACTTAATTTAAAAGAATCCAGCCAGTGTTTAAGTAATTCCAGTCCTAGTTCTGCTGCCCTTTTTGTATCTTCATGACATAACTTTTGATGCTAAACCATTTTATCTAATGGAGATTTAGAGAAAATTATCGGAAATTTCCTAGATACGACACACTTTTAAGATACATAGCTTTTCTTAGGGAATAACATTAATATACAGACTTCAACTTCATCTTCAACTAACACGACAATTTTTATTATAGGTTTGAATGAGTACCTAGAGAGCTTAGATAAAAAAACATATTGAATTTATTACAGGAGATATAAACATTAACATATTGGATAACAACAGTAATAAAATAAATAATTGTATCAATGTACCAAAAAATATCACTTTACGTTGTTGATTAATATTCCGATCTTGGAAGTATAGCTCATATAAACCTAAGAAATAATAATCAAATTAAAATCTATCAAAAACATTTCAAAGATTTGTCGAAATTTTTGTATAAAACACTTCGCTTTACCATTTTTTCTTAAATGAATCTGCATTCATAGCGTAGTGACCAGCGTCAGTCGGCAACAATATCTTCTGTAAGAGTCAAATGACTGTTGAAACATTTTATTTGGTATATTTTAAGTATAGCAAAATATGTCCTTTCAGGCATGAGTTCTTAAAGGAAACATCCTGGCTAGCCGGTTTGAGGGATCCAAATCTGGCGAGAGTGGTGGGCCTTTGCAGCCAAGACGAACCAATGTGCGCCCTTTTGGAGCATGCGGACGGAAGTGAATTGCCGAAGTTTTTAGCCTCTAGAGTAGGATTTGAGGATGGAAATCCTGTAGCTCCATCCGTCAGGTGAGCAAGCTTTTAATGTGAAACCTTGTACACTATTTTCATGAATCGCTTTATTGGAGTAAATTATTTATAAGAGCTCTTGCAACTGAAGGAAGAAGATTTTGTGCCGACATCCAGTATTTACTATTTGATTATTAGCGTTCTTCATTCTTCTACATAATTAAATTGTTATGTGATTTTCGGTGAAATACCTATTGCATTTTAAACAAAATTACTGCACTACTTCTGGCTAAATAGCAACTAAAAGAAAATCTATCCAATTTAATGCTAAGTATAATTTCAAAATAGGTCTTTTCATACCTCAAACTTTATTAATGCATATGGAAATGGGTAAAAGCATGCAGACGTCTACGTCAAAAGCAATTAAAAGTATTTTGATGCTCTCAATTTAAAGATATGATAACAAAATTTTACGATTTAATGTATGGAGAGGCCGCAAGCAATCTTGGAAGTTGTTTTGAGTCATAACGGCGTTTTATTGCCCAACTTTCAACTAAATAAACTCAATTTATGTGCCCAGTTTTCTTCCGCCATATGGAAATTTGAAAATTGGATGGAATGAAGTTTATATTGTCAGATTGCTTTGAGGGGCTAGTAGGTATACCTGGTTTTTGGAAATCCAATGAAAAGGCAGATAATAGAAATAGTCAAATATCCGCTATTGCAGTCATTTAAACAGGAATATTCGATATACCTACCTACAACAGTGCAATGTTCAATATTCCGACTTTATTTGAAATCCACTCTTTTCGGCAAGTATTTTCCGGATATTAAACGCAATCACGGAAACATCTCGTATATTGCTGCGAAAGAATTCCATTTAAGCAAGAAAGTGCATAAGACATTTGTGATGGCGTTTATAGAAATTCTGCATCCGGAATTTGGGTTTAGTAGGATTTAGGTTGTACATTATTTACTCTAACAAACGGCATTGGGTTTCACCGTTGGCTTCTTGATGCTAAATTCTGCTCAATTTGTCTTATGTTGGTAAAGGAGAATCAGGCACTCTGCAATCTGCAATAGTATTAATAACTGAAATATTTTCAATTATACATCTGGAATATTTTTTTGTGATCCGCGAGCCTAAATTAAATTTGGGACATTTTCTATTAGCATAGATAAGTAGATATAAGATAAAAGGTAAATATAGATAAAAGAGGACATTGATGCACCTTTAGGACTTTTGAAAGTTGAGATTGTAGACAACCGAAATTCCGAAAGATAATTCGAGACCGAAGTGTTTTAACTCTTTTCAATATTTGCACCTCAATTGCTGATTCAAGAAATCTGAAAAGGCAAAGTGGCTTGTAACTTTGAGAAATGAACATGGATGTAGAGTTTAGATTTTCAAATGAAAAACAAAACATAAACACACATTTTAATAGCAACTTTCATTTCCTTTTTTTTATCTTTTAAATGTTTTGGTATCTATTCTAATATAAAAAGGTCTGATCGTTTTTATACAAATTTGCGTACAACTTTTATGGTATTTAAAATCTCCTTTCTATTAGTTCTATTTCTACTCCTACTATTTCCCCGTGTTTATCAAGTGTTGGTCTTGCAGGTTTTTTCATTTTTCCATTAGCTGTTTATGAGTTTGTTGATCACAAAAACTTAGAAACGCTTTTTTACAGCAGATTGAAAACATAGGAATAAAGATTACAGTTTTATCAAATACAATCCAGTGAATTAATTTTTAAATGCTTAAACAGAGTTAAGCGACTATATACTTTTGCTGTCTGCCTCCAAGATGCATGCATAATAAACTGGCCGGAACTGAGGCCTGCGGGTAGTGAGAGAATAATTCAACCATTCCACGTTATATTCGTATATTCCATTCCGAAATAATTCAAAAGGTTTTAGTGCTTCATAGTTGGGAGCTGTTCTGTGGTTTTGTTCCGGACAGGACTACCGAAAACCCAAAGCCAAACACTCATTGGCTCGAATATAATTATGGAGCTTAATTATTAACACCCGACTGGGTGGAGAATGCCACAAGTTGTTGATATTTTATATGTTTGAGCAACTTTCCGCTCGTTTGCCCCGTTACTTGGTTATTTGTTAATGGCAAAAACGTGTAGAGGCTTTACATAACGCTAATCAAATTTTAAGGACGATCTAATTACCTTGCATCGGCCAAATTTACAAAGCCACATAAATCATATATTGGGTATGAAATGAAACTGGACATTATTTTATGGCTTTATATAACAGAAAACTAAACGACTGGTTCAGACATGTATGTTTGCATTTTAAATATCCAGGCCTGCTACTGTTCCAAACTCGCTAATTCAAACTTGTTTTCTTAAGTGCTTATTAAAAAATGTACGCATGTGATTCCATGAGGAATTTATTGCAATTTTATGTGAAAAAGAGTGTTTACATTTAAAGTATCAGAACACATTTTCCTTTGGTTTAATTTAAATTATTTATATATGTATGTGATTTTCGATCCATAATTTACATATATTTTTTTATTAATTCCGTACCCAACCATATATTTAGGAACTTAATTTAAATTATTTGTCTATAAAAAGCAGTTATTTAGGAACTTTATTTAAATTTTCTGTCCATAAAACAGAAGTTATTTAGGTTTCATGCAATACTGATAAAATTAATTAATAAAGTTAATATCCAAATATTGAGCGAAAGTACTTTCTTTAAAAAAATTGTAATGGAAACTAGACTAGAAGTCAAAACCTCAGTTTGAAAAGGAGTTCTTATAAGAACATCGTTTAAATTAATCCGTCGTTAATTATTTCAATAAATTTACTTTAGGAGCTGGAATATCAAAATTATTGTTTTTATTTCAGTGAGTTAATATCTAGAAACTTGAGCGATAAAATTGAAGCAATTCGTAGTATTTAATTTTGAACCAAATCATAAAATTAAATAGATTAAATAGGCCTCATTTAATATTCAAGTTTTCACTTGATTTAGATTGAATAACTTTTAAATGACTAATTTAAATATAACTGGAATAAGTAAATATCTACAACAAGAATATTCACGAACCCAAACAAATAACAATAAACTTAATTTCCGGTCCTGCTTTAATCACTCTATGTAGTAATGTACATTTCTCGCAATTCGTTTTGCCGCAGAATGTGTTTTTTAATTTTCTTTTATTGCCGCTTTCCATATTTGATCAAACTGAACCCAATCGAAAAAATGTCGAAAACTACCATCTATTAGCCCGGACATATTCGCTGCCACATAGTTTTTTCGTTATTTTTTTATTTTTGGAGAGTTGGAAGTAGTCTGTATTTTCCGGCACATTTAATAACAATGCTCCGTCAGCGTGGTTATTGCTTTATAAACACATAGAGCGCTCGTGAACGTTTCAATAGAGCAGGAAAATAATGGCAAAATGGAGAGCACTAGAAAAATATGGATTTGCAAGCGTGTCAGGAAAAAAAACTATTTTTTTGTACCTTGCAATAGCATATTTTTACAAACTCGATGGGCTAAAGATTTGAAAATACGCAGAAAAATTAAGGTAACATTTGAAAAACCCCATATAAAATTGTAAAAATTGTAAGGTAACAGCCGTATCATTAAACGTAGTATAAGATTCAAAAACGAGTTTTTGTTTGATTGCCGATTTTTTCAATGTTTTTTATTTGCTTCCAAATATTATTGATTCCGCTTTTTTTCCGAGTTTCCAGTGTCTATTCCGTAAGATGATTGCAGCCAAAACGTACCTACAAGGTGTTTATTTTTTGCAATCAACCAGCCTCGTTTACACATATCGATACTGATTATGTGTTGCACTCAATTTTCCTACTTTATTCTTCAATTTTTTTGCATTTACTCGTAATACTGCATTTAACTCCTTTATTTATAAATAACACTGACTTTAGCCTCAGTTCTTATCGCAGAGTGCAGACTGATGTTCGTTATATACATTTCGGAAATTGCTTTATTAATAATGATTGCATTCATTTCATTTTCATATTTTTCTTCAGTATTATTCTAGTTCCTTGATATATGATAAATTTGCAACACTACCCTTAATTTTAAGTAATTATATTATTGCGGCCGCTTATTTTTAATTTTTGGATGGCAGTCATTTTTCAGTGGTAGGGTTTTTCTTTTTGTTTTCATATTTTAATGTTTAAACTAACACTATTAATTTTCCGTTTTTATAAGTACTGGTGATTCTTCATTTTTTTAAAGGTCAACTAATTTGCGGCTGTCTGGAGTGATTCAATATTACTATTTTTTTGTTAACTCTTCATTATTTCTATATTTACTTTTTACCGCTTTGCTGTCTAGGAGTTCTCGGAAACTTTCTGTCCAATGATATTGTCTTTCCGATTTTTCGTTTTCAAATGTTTTAAGTAAGTATAACTACTGTACAACATCTGTTCACTTCACTCATTTTTTCTACAAATTCTATTCAGGTTTTTTTAATTGACAAATGCTTGATCTATATTTCATGAATTGTTTTTATCCTTCACAAATTTGAACATTTTTAACTGATACCCATTTTTCTCAAGACTCTAATTTTATTATTATTTCAGTTTTAATTTCTCGGGGCCGCTCTACTGTCTGCTTTTATGGTTAATTATCCTCCTTATTCCACACCTCACTCCCTCTACACTCACATTTATTTGCTGGTTATATTGCATTCTATCTTATACACATATTTTTATTTACACGTATTTGTGCGACTTTTAGATCGTATCTTTTGTCACATTTTCTCTATACAGTTTCTCTACACGTTTTGGCACGATTCTGAATTTCTCGTTTGTACAATTTTTTGGTTCTATTTCAAGCTTGTGGTTACAAATTATGATATTTTTTCTGATTTTTTTACAAACTTCTTTTTGGGTATTTCGCCTCAAAAATTTTTGTCTTTAAAAAAGGCAGAATTTCCTC